CCGTCTCTGATCCTCAGACCGAGACGGACCAGGACCCCTATGCTGTTCGGGCTTAGACCTGGACCATCGTGAAATGAAGGACTGAAGGCCGCTAAGCGCGCCTTTGCCTCCCTGAACTTCTCGAGTAACCAAGGTAACCAAAAATATTCGGAAAGAGGACCAAGCCTGGATTTTATTTTGTGTTTTGTGTGCGGCAGTCGTCCGCGAGGGGCTGCCGCTTTACTTTCATTTTGTGTTTGTTTATTTTATTAAAGTCTTTAAATGTTCGCCGGTTCCCGCCTCATTCTTCCCGCGACTACAACTGTGTTACAAGTGGTTTACTGAAAAAATTGCTCTTTCTTTACATAAATTTAATTATAATTAAAAATTTCTTAGGGATAAAAAGTTTATGCTCTAAATTATTATAAGGTTACAATTAACAACAGAGCCCAAACTTAAATGTAATTACTATTTATTTTAAATATAATAATCAACACTGCAGTTTTTAAATTAACTTTTAAATTATAAACATTAAATTTTTTGTTGAAATATAATCATTTACACAGTGGCTCTCATAACTTGTTTCATAACAGATTTATTTAAGCATACATTAAATAATTAAGACATCACTAACAGGTAAGTAAAGTATAATGATTATAAAGTCTAATATTTCGCGAAATGCTCTTCTCTAGACTTCATTTCTCTCGTGAAATAATGAGCTGTGGACATTGATAACTTGCATTGAGGTAAAGAAAAAAGGACATAATTTGAAAGATGAGACTTTGTTTCTTATCAATAAACAATATATAAAACTGGAAGTTTCCAATTAAGTTCCACTCGTGGTTAAAACAATGCTGTATTTGTTCGGTACACATGCACACCGAACCAAAAGACCCGTACCAAAAATTTTCGATATGAATACGTGTACCGTTACACCCCTAATAAATAGTGTCTTGAAAGGGATGGTACAGTAGCCTTTGACTTTTGTCACCTCCTTTTTTCTTGTACCCTATCCTTTCCTCTCAGAATCATCCCTTGTTCCTCTGAGAGGTTTTCATATTGCCATTTTCCTTGAAGTATTTGGTAAAGTCTGTAAAGAAATTTTGTTGTGTATTTTCTGCTTGTTCTTGTGTGGAATAAACTTCATTCATTCAGACTTTGATCTATGGGTCAGCAGGTGTTCACCCTCCAGTAAGCTCAGTGTCTGTTCTGTGCGCCCTTTGACCCTTCTCACATTATAGTTTCCTTGCATTTGTAATATTTTTATAGTTAGCTTATTTTTTTCCTTATTCACCTGATTCACTCCAGCTACAATGTTCTAAACAGACACACAGAATGTTTGATTGTGAATGCTTTGGTCCATTGTCATAGCAGTAACTGATCTGCTTCATTTACTCTACTATGTTCATTTCTTTATTTCAGTTCCTGATGTTGGAATTTTAAAAAGTGGATATGAAAAACTGAGTGTTTTGATGTTTATGCTGGTTCTTCACAGGACTTTAATGCAGGGCTGGCCATCACTGTGGTGGACCTGACGGCTGCGTGTGTGAAACAAGTTGAGAGGAAAGGATTTGAGATCACTACACCTTTCAAATCCTTCTGGTAAACTGCTAAAATATTATATACTGTATATTAGCATAAGGCCAGGAAAAACAAGAAAGAAAAAGAAAAAAAGAAAGAAAATCTCTTATCAAAATAAAATATTACCATAAATTTACTGGTAGATGTTGTTTTAGACAGATTTCAGGTGACCTTCAAACAGAGTTAAGCTTCTTACCTGGACTTTCTTAACACAATTTATGCTTTACTTAATTATTTTAAGTTTCACTCAAGGTCAGACTTGGAAGATTACGTTTTCTTAGTGTAAATAATAATTTATTTACACAAATGCCTCCAGATTATGAGTTCAGAGATGCTCTAAATTTCAAATACAGATTCTGATTACATAAACATGCTATTATTTCAAATGCTTTCATTTGCAGAATAGTTATTTAGAAAATTAACTTCTAATAAAAATTGCATTTTTGCTTGCATAATATCATATATACTTTTTAAAACCAGAGTGTGCAGCTTACCTTGACAGCATTTTATCCTCTAGCCAAATGATATGTTAATTATAAATGTATTTTATTTCATTCTTTCTCTATTTAAAAAAATCTGTCTAATATAAGGGACATTTCAATCCCATTTGTGTGTACTGTGAAGATGTTGGAATCAACTGTGAGCATTAGTTAAGTCCCTCAAGTGTGTGTGTGTGTGTGTGTGTGTGTGTGCCTGTGTAGACATTAGACGGCAAGAAAACTCATTGTTGTTTGGAGCATAGTCATACTGTAAGAATTTGAAATAAGTGACAATTGATAATCAGTGTTGGAGAGTAACTAGTTACATGTAATGGAATTTAATGTAACAAAATAAATGTAACCGTAATCAGTTACAGTTACTGAGAAAAAAATGTGTAATTAAATGACAGTTACTTATGAAAATGTACACACACACATCCTGTCATAGCTATGCAAAGATTTGATTTCAAAAACAGTATCATAGCTATTAAACTATTTCTTGTTATGGTTTTAAATCTATATTTAACCTCAGAACGATCTCAAAATAAAAAGAGGTGCTTTTGTGGTGGACGTGCTTTAAAAATAAATTATTATAATCTTAATTCAAATGATGAAGGATTCTGACATCGATGAGTGTTGAGTACTACTGTAAAGTTAACCCTGCCTGCTTTAAATGTTTCAAAATGATTAACATTTGAAAACATTCGTTAGAAATTTAGAAAAGTAATCAAAAAGTAATCGAATGTAATCAGTTACATTACTTTAATGAAGTAATTGAAATAGTTACACTACTTATTACATTTTAATTAGGGTAACTTGTAACCTGTAACTTATTACATTTCCAAAGTAACCTTCCCAACACTGTTGATAATATGCAAACCTCAAAGATCAGTGAGTTCTGAAAAGAAGGTAATTGCTGTTCCAGTGTGGGATTTACCTATTCTGCCATTTTAAAAACTTTTGTTGATCTGCTCTTCACAACTGCATTGTATTCAAGTGCAAAAGGGATTTCAGAGATACTTATAACTCTGGGAAGAATTTTGAAAGGATGTTTTGGGCCCCCATAATCCAGAGTCAGGCAGTTTACTCCTGGACAAAAATCTGCACCATTTCTACATTCCCTAGGAGAGGGCGTCCTACAATCCTAAGTTCAATAATGTGCTGAAGAGTCCTTAAACAACATACAAAGAATATAAAATGTGTTGCTTGTAGAAAACAAATGGCTGTATTTACTCCAAAATCTTATTCAAAAGTTAAACTATGCTGGAGGGTATATAACATTATGAAGCTTTTCTGCTTCGGGGCCTGAAACTTATTTAGGCACCAGTGAATTCCAAGTGACTTAAAAAGTAAAGCAACTTATTTAATGTATTGTTTGGATATTTGTTTACTTTTTAAATCACAAGTGAGAGATGTCTATTGGTTAAAAAAATAATCATATTAATCACATCCTAAAACAAAGATTAAAATACACTCACCGACCACTTTGTTAGCTACACCTTGATAGTACCGGGTTGGACCCCCGTTGCCTTCAGAACTGCCTTAATTCTTCGTGGCATAGATTCACCAAGGTGCTAGAAACATTCCTCTGAGATTTTGGTCCATATTGACGATGATAGCTTCACACAGATTTGTTGGCTGCACATCCATGATGTGTTTCTCCCTTTCCACGTAGTCCTAAAGGTGCTCTGTTGGATTGGGTGACTGCGTAGGCCATTTGAGTATAGTGAACTCATTGCCATGTTTAAGAAACATGTTTGAGTTTAGAGAAGTAGCCATCGATGCGGTCTTCTGCTTGTGTAGTCTATCTGCTTCAAGGTTCGATGTGTTGTGCTTTCAGAGATGCTTTTCTGCATACTTCGGTTGTAACGAGTGGTTATTTGAGTTACTGTTGCCCCTCTATCAGCTTGAACCAGTCTGGTCATTCTCTAACCTTTGGTATCAACAAGGCATTTTTACCCACAGAGCTGCCGCTCACTTGATATTCTTTCTATTTCTGACTATTCTCTGTAAACCCTAGAGATGGTTGTGCATGAAAATCCCAGCAGATCAGCAGCTTCTGAAATACAGTGCTCAGACCAGCTTGTCTGGCACCAACAACCATTGCCACGGTCAAAGTCACTTAAATCACCTTTCTTCCTCATTCTGATGCTCAGTTTGAACTTTAGCTGATCGTCTTGATTATGTCTACATGCCTAAATGCATTGAGTTGCTGCCATGTAATTGGCTAATTATATATTTGCATTAACAAGCAGTTGGACAGGCGTACATTATAAAGTGGCTGGTGAGAGTATGTTAGAAGGCTGCATTGGGATTGGGATCCCACGGGACCCAACGCAAATCTTGTGGGAGCAGGTGGTTTTACCTTTGCTGGGGGTGGGAGTGGGCAGTCAAAAAAATATTGCATGGATCCCGCGATTTGGCACATAACAAGAATGAGTTGCATAAACGCTAGGCTTGCTGCGGTAGTCAGTGTTACACGGTTTGGTCGTACAACGATTACATTACTTGCCCACCGTGTCACCACCCCACTGTCGTTAGCTGGAAAACGTATGCTACAATTCTTAACTGAAAGGGTCTGCTCTGCTTTATACAGACAGGGTTGCCAGGTCTGTAATACATATTTACATTCACTGTTCTGCACATTGATCCATAAACACAGCTCAAAGGTTTTCTACCACAAGCTGCTGAGTGCATGTGATCGCAAAATTGAAAGTTAAAGTGAACAGCGAGAGCTCATTCAAGAGCGATTTCAATACCCCGCATATTGATAAGGCTCCCTGATGCACGGAAATTGTATACAGTATTAGAATATTTGGGAGCGGGCGGGAATGGACACAAAAATTGTGTGAGCAGGCTGGAGTGGAACACACACACTTTGTGGGAACGGGCGGTAATGGTCGACGGAAATTCAGCGGGAGCAGGATTAAGAAAATAGTCCCGTGCAGGGCTCTAGTGTATGTTTGCATTTGCACCATTATAGAAATAACCGTTTCTGAACCATTACTACAAAATTCCAGATTTATAGAATATAAAGTATTCATAACTTTTCTCTCAACTGTAACTGGAATTATACTTGAATTGTTTTAACCAAACACGAAGTGAGTAAACAAAAACATTTCTACTTACTATAACATTCACTACCTAGTTTGTAACATTTCAGGAAATGTGAAACTTTTGTCTTGGTTCATTTATCAAGGCGTTCTTACTTAGGAGTTTTACCTCTTAGTATAAGTGATTGCACCAACTACAATAAAATATGGATTAAACGGCTGAACTTTGCGAAAAGATTAGTGTCAAACAGTTGAAACTTTTCTACCTGTATATAATGAAATTGAGTGCTTGCATAGCTGGACGGTGTGAGATTTACTAAAGGCAGAGAAAACTCCATCAATTTCTCCTTTTTGAGCCTTTTTAGTATCATTTTTTCAGAGTTTGTTGCCTGCTGTGTTATTTTCTAGCAGCCACTCTCTCATTATGACTGTCCTGCCACTCTGATACTATCTATCTGAAGCACACTCATTATTGATCTGTTTTTTCTTCCTCTTCTCATTCTTTTTTTTTCTTTATAAATATCAGCTTTGTTATAATGGCTGTACAGTACAGGCATCGCTCACCTGTGACCCCACACAAGCTGATGTTTCCAACAAAGCAGCCATTTGCAGAGGCCTAATCGATGTTTTCGTATTTGTTTTTTAATGATCCTTTTATGACTGATGTAGTTCCCCTGCTAAAAAAAAAGACACAACAATAACAACAACAAACAATGAAAAGCTATCGCTTTCTTTCCTTGGCTGGTGCGCATTGTTAAAGATTTTTCCTCTTTATCTCTTAGCTTTGTTTTTGTGCACAGGTCAGAATATTGATCTGTTTGTAGTTGCGTTCTGAACGTTGAGCGATATGAGGCTGGCCGACTATTTAGCATTAGTTGTTAGCAAAATAATTGGAATTTTTCAAAGAAATTACGTATCAAGGTCTCTGTGCTCATTTAAAATAATGGGCACAGAGGGGGTCATAATGGAAATGAAAGGCAGATTCAGAGCTATTACTGGTTTTACATTTAGACTGAACTTGTGTTTGCCATTGTTATTTGTCTGCTACTTGACCTGGGCCCAGTGGGACTCAAACGGTTTGGTTTTAGGTCAGGATGAACTTAACCAAATAGAACTTTGAGTTTGTGTCTAGTTTTGGGTTTGTTTTTAATTATAAAATAAATATCTTATGTTTTATGTTTAACACAACATATTTTGTTCACACAACACACACACACACACACACACACACACACACACACACACAGAGACTCCTTATATTTGAGTCAGGGCTTAGCGAACTGATGGTGAAGGATTTCAGGCCCTGTCTTAAAATTTGACAGTACCCGATTTAGGCTTCAACTAAAAGGGATAGTTTACTCAAAAATGTGGATTCTGTCATTCATTTACTCATCCTCATATCATTCCAAACCTTTATGACTTTCTTGCTGTCATGGAAGACAAAAGAAGAAATTCTGAAAATGTGTTAATTGCTCTTTTCCATGCAATCCCAATGAAAGGGGACTGAAGCTTTCAAGCTTCAAAAAAGACATAGAAGCACCATAAAAGTGTCATAAATGGTCAATATTATTTATGTGCTGTATTCCAAGTCTTCTGAAGTCATGTAATTTCCCTTCAGTGAGCTGTAACCATTGCAGAACTTGTGAACAAAATTTAATGATTATTTTTATGATACTTTTTATAAAATCTTTAGTCTCCATTTATTGTAGTACATGAGAAAGAGTGACCAAGAGTGACAGTCTTAAGAATTTCTCTTTTTGTGTTCCATAGAAGAAAGTCATGCAGGGAGATGTACCTTTAATGTCAGTGCATAAAAGGTGCTGTAACATTAACCAAATTTCTTTCTATTGTCAATAGTGTAGCGATATATAAAGCCCTGCTCATATAGAAGTCGCTTTCAAACCAAGCAGCGAAATGTGTAAAATCTGTGTGGGGCAATCTTTCACCTTCATATGAAATTCTTGATTTGGATTTTGCCCATGAAAATTAGCCAAACAATGGTGAATGTGACCACCCCTTCAGGCCCGTTCATACCAAGGGCAATCACCATAACAATAAAGATGTATTTATTTATTTTTTTAAATCATTCTAAATTTAAAGTAATAGGCACAGAGGAATGATATTATTGGAATCACTTTCAGAACAATTTATTTAGCTGATGAATGGTGAAAACATTAAAAGCTGATCAGAGTCAATAATGCTTTAAAAAGCAGAGCGAGTGCCTTTATTTAAATCACCTACTATAATACTTGATGTGAAATCAGTCTGATAAAATTTATGTAAGAGTTTTGTGTTATTTGTGTCAGTTTCACAGTGGAGTCGGACCGTGAGAGAGAGGAATGGATAGAGGCAGTTCAAGAGTCCATCGTAGAGACATTGTGCAATTACGAGGTGCTTGAGAAGGTTTGGTTCAACAAGTCCAACAGGAAGTGCGCCGATTGTCAGGCTCCTGAGCCGGAATGGGCCTCCATCAACCTATGTGTGGTCATCTGCAAGAATTGTGCAGGTAAGAAACAATTATGAACACAAAGAGCAGATCAAGAACGGACACAACAGGAATGGAACATGAAACACGCAATGTCTTTACCACACACCTTAAAGCATCAAGCGATAAAAGTTCACATGGTTCCTGTGTCTTCTGTGTAAATTGGTTCAAAATTTCACTCCACATGCACTACTGATGAAAAGTTTAGGATCAGTATGATTTTTTTTAAAAGAAATTAGGTTTTATTAAGCAAAGACTCATTAAATGAATCAAGTGAAGTTATGTTGTCAACAAATATATTTACATTTTCAAAAGAAAAGAAAATCAAACAAAGACTATTGCTTTTGAACTTAATTGAGTAAAAAAAAAATGATCACAGTTCCAACAAAAAAATATTCAATTTCCAGTTTCAGATATTAGAGTGATTTCTGAAGGTTAATGTGACACGGAAGACTGGAGTAATGACTGCTGAAAACTCAGCTTTGCCATCACAGTAATAAATTGCACTTCAAAATATATTAAAATAGAAAATATCTATTTTAATTCTTAATAATATTTCGCAATAATACTGTTTTTGCTGTATTTTCCAATACATAAATGCAGCCTTGGTGATCAACAAATTAAAAAAATCTTATTGACACCAAACTTTTCCACAGCAAATGGACATTAAATATGAAATATCTTCTCACTGACTGTGATTGTGTCATGTTACACCACAGTTCAGCATGGACAGACTAATTGCTTGTCGTTGAGAACTTGACACAACACGTGTTTTTAGGAAACTTGTTTTTTATTTGTACTTTAGAGGTACAGAGTAAATGTTCTTCATAGCCATCTTTTTTCTCTTTCTCTCCCCTTCCTCTATTTCACTCAGTATAGTAAGGTACCGTACACACTCATACACACACACACACACACACACACACACACACACATCTTACTCCATCTCTTCTCTCTTCCTCTGCTCTTTTCCCCGATATTGTCGTTGCTTAGATTATTCTGACCACCCTCTGACGCCATAAATTAACTCATTATTTCAGTTATGCAGTCATTTAATGTTACATTAGGTCACAATACAGGAGGAACCACTGGCTGAGCGTGTGCAAATGGCTGCTGAGTGAGCCATCGAGTGGGGAGACACTTTCTCTGAATGTGCACCGCAGCCTTCATGGAATCTATGGCACAGACACTTTAATTAGCTGCGCTTCTGCAGCCGACAATTAGGAGAGTGAGAGCGAAATACTGGGAATATAACGAACAGCTAACGATTAAATGAGAGCAAATTGTCTTCGGTGGGAGACGGAGAGGGTATGAAAGAGAGAGACAGGTGAAGTTATTTCCTCTTTCTCATGATCCATATTCACATTTATAATACTTATCTAACTTTCCCACTTGTTTTTTTTTTTTCTCTTTCTACCCCACCTCTCATCTTTTAACACACTGTGATATCAATCAGCATCCCTGGCTGTGTGACATATATTCGGGTTTGTCTGTTTCTTTACGCATGTAATTGCAATAAGCTCTTTAAATCGAACTCTGTGATTGGAGACATTCCTCAAGTGAGGCTGTGGTTGCCATAGAAACTCCTGGTATGCACATTTTTCACTCTTTCTTTTAATAGTTTCAAATAAGGTAACAAAGAGAAATTTCTCCACCCTTCTGATGGTTTTTGTTCTCTTTTGATGCTTTAAATAAGGTTTCACTGAAGCAAACGCTGTGTTTAAGGTACTTTTCTGTCTTAGAAGTTTTCTTAGATGGCACTACAAAACCTTTAACGAGTGCCCTTAATGCACACACAGTAACACGCACACAAAGCATCTTTAGTCCCGTCGGCTCTCAGGTGGCTCTAATGATCTTTGATGGCAAACTGGTACTCTAAAATGCTGCTAATTATGCCGGAAAATCACACACTCCATATTCAAATATGTGTTCTCCCTGCCATGTTTAATTAATCTGTTTCTCGCATAAACAACAAGTACTACGGTGCCTGGAGTTCAGCGAAATAAATGCGCAGACCAACAAACACAATGAATTACTTATGATTCATTAGCAATTAATGGCTTTTTCGCGCCTTTCATTTGCAATTATAGCTGTGGCAGGCTGGAGAAAAGAGTGCCTGAAAAGGATACGATGAAATTAATAATGAGTGTGTGACTCTGTCTGTATATGTGTCATACGAGTTGTTGCTTTATACCATTTAGTGTGAAGTTGTGCTTAGTTTTGAGGTTAAGCAGGACACTTTCAGTTAACAGGAAGTTTTAACATCTGTATTTGTGAATTTTACATTGTCTGTTTTAGATGTGAATAGTCCAGATCAGTATCTATTTCCAGGTCAGCATCGATTCCTGGGTCCTGGTATCTCAAAGGTCCGCAGTATGAAGCTAGACAGCAGCATATGGACCAACGAGCTCATTGAGGTACCGATCTGTTGTGGTAGTCACTACTTACATATTGATTTTATAAATCTATAAATCCTATAGATTTATATTTACCCACCCTGATGTCATTCCGAACCCTTATGGCTCTTGCTTATCTTTGAAACACAAAGGAAAATATTTGTAATGAAATCTGAGAGACTTCGTTCCCTTCACTGAAAGTCCACTCCATGGAGGCAATAGAGGGATGAAATGGTTTCATTAAAAATATCGGAATTTTTTTCTGAAGATGAACAAAAGTCTGAGTTTAGAATGACATGAGGGCATGATGGCAGAATTTAAATTTTTGGGTGATCTTACTTTTTAAGTGAAGTATATTGTCCTCACGTTCTGTCCCTCTCTTTAGCTGTTTTTAGATGTTGGGAATAAAAATTCCAACAGCTTCTGGGAAGCAAATCTTCCCCCAGAGGATGAGCTTTGCAAGCAGCCATCGCCGGAGCAGCGTGCATCCTTTATCCGCAGGAAGTACAAAAAGAGGAAGTACAAGAAAGTTCTAGAAGGTCTAAACACTCAAGAGGAACTCAACAAGGTGTGTGTGTGTGTGTGTGAGAGAGAGAGAGACTCTGTGTGCTAACGTTGGCCTTTGGATTAGTGCTATTTTTTTCTACCTCATTAAAAGGCCCATTAGGCCTGGAGATGTTGGCGGCTGTGTGTGTGTGTGTATATACATCTGTTGCTGCTGTGGCTCACCTGGTAGCCCAGGTGTAAATTAGGGTTACCATGGTAACTGGCTTTCTCCAATTTTCAGAGCAGGTTGCCAGGGTTATAAAACCATGCTAAGATTCTGCTTTCTTTTTGCATAGCTACAAAGTGCTGTAAAGTTATAGTTGGAAAACACTTTTTTTTTTGACAGGATGTTAAAGAAATTGAACAGATGATAATTGGATGTGTTATGAGTTAACAAGGTTTCTTGTGCATAATTCATAATTATTCTGTATCTGTGTGTGTGTGTGTGTGTGTGTGTGTGTGTGTGTTTTGATTGTTCCTACTGAGTTTGTCCACATTACTCTTTCCTAAGCCAAAAGATGCTGTTTTTCCTCCCCGTCAGCACTAACACAGATCAAGCCTGCTTTTGTTTTCTGGAGAGGGGGGCAAAAGAGAGGGAACAGAGGGGGAGAGAGGATTGGAACTGTGGATTAGGTGTATGTGAGATGAGAGCAGCACTGGGGAGTTTTCAGGGGTTCTTCTGAAAAAAGTTATATGATTGTGTGTGTGTGTCAGAGAGAGACAAAGAGAGTGAGAGGAAGATAAAAGAATACAGTGCAGGTACATACAGAAGTGAGATTAGATTATAAATGGAAGGGTGCGTCTGGGACAGACACAAACAAAATGTTCCAGAAAAATCTTCCCTGCTCTCAAAGTTTTTGTTTAAGCCCTGATGTGATATATGTCTTTAAGTTTTCATTTTAGCTCTTGTCTGATACTTTCGTTCAGCCTGAAGTTTCAAGCAGTAGTCAGCCTGGCAGGCAGTGGTTTTGAGTTTATGAGATATAACAACAGTTCAGAAGAAGTTCTTTGTAAAAGTAAAACCTGAAAGTGCCTGCATCGTTGGGACCAGCCAAAGTAAAGTAACTGCTTAATAAGCATGCAAATTTATGTGAAAATTAATATGTTTATATGCAGAAAGGTTTGTGTGAAGGTCAGATTTAGCAGATAGAAATTATAATTTGCTCAGTGTGATAGGAGTCCCCACCATAATAGAAAACAAATGGATGTTTATGTGTGTCCATTCAACTGTGAGCTTTTGCAGATCTTAATGGCATCTCATAAAGAAGGCATCTTAATGGCATCACACACACATATGATCAAAAGTGACAGTAAAGACATTTATAATGTTATAAAAAAGAGAAAAATCTGTATCAAATAAATGCCGTTCTTTTGAACTTTCTATTCATTAAAGACTGCTGTAAAAATGTATGCTGCTTAAATATTAAGCAGCACAACTGTTTTTCAATAATAATAAGAAATGTTTTTTTGAGCACCAAATCTGGTGCTCCAAAAATGATTTGTGAAGGACCATGTGACACTGAAGACTACAATAATGGCTGCTGAATTTTATTTCAGTCTTTGCCATCAGTGGCATAATTATCATTATGTTGTATTTGTTTGATTATGTAGAGCAGGGGTGGCGAAAGTCGGTCCTGGAGAGCCGCAGCCCTGCAGAGTTTTGCTTCAACTCTAATCAAACACACCTGAACAAGCTAATCAAGGTCTGAAGGGTTATTAGGAAGCTACAGGCAGGTGAGTTTTAATTAGGGTTGGAGCTGAACTCTGCAGGGCTGCAGCTCTCCAGGACTGGAGTTCGCCACCCCTGATATAGAGTATGCATGTACTGTATGTGTATATGGGTCAATGGGTGTATATGTGAATGTGTGTGTGTGTTTGTGTCTTTATCTGAATTATAGTCCACAACTCCAATTAGAATCAGTGACCTCCAGAAAGTCTCTTCAGCAAATGTGACCTAGAGAACATGTACACACACACACACACACACACACACACACACACTAACCTTGGGGTTTATGTCATTGGAAGAACATTTTAAGGTCACCCAGACACCGAATGAAAGGGAACTGGTGTTATATACTTTTTAATCTGGTACATTACATAAAAGTTATGAATAACTTTTAAATATAATAAAATATTAAATAAAATAATAATAAAATAAAATATAGAATAAAATAAAATAAAATAAAATGTAAAAATAGAATAAAATATAAAATGAACTTTATTTGTCTAAATTTAGTATTGTCATCAAGTAAATAAATAAGTGACACTGATCATGTGACTGTTTGTACATACATCTCATATAATGCTGGAGACAATGATCATCAGGTTGACACAAAACTTGTGGAGTTAAAGCATGTGAAGTGTTGCTATCATTAAAAAAGAGGCGAACCAAAATACTTAAAGGGGTCATATGATGCGATTTCAAGTTTTCCTTTCTCTTTGGAGTGTTACAAGCTCTTGGTGCATAAAGAAGATCTGTAAAGTTGCAAAGACTAAAGTCTCAAATCCAAAGAGATATTCTTTATAAAAGTTAAGAGTCAGCCACACCTACCTAAAACGGCCGTTCTAACACGCCCCGACATATCTACCTCACTATGTGGCAATATTTGCATAATGAGTCCCAAATGTTCACGCAAAGAAAGAAGGCGTGGTTTCAGTAACCGCAGTTAGTGTTGAAGCAGCATGTCAGGGAGACGCTGTGTGTTTCTAGGCGAAAGCAAAAGCACTTTATTTGGCCTTCCGAAAGTAGATGCATTTAGGAATCTTTAAGATTACTTACAACAGAACAGCAATGCATTTTATGGACGACCGTTTCGTGAACCTAGGAGAGGAGGTAATTCCGACTTTACTATGACAATCTGGCGCTTCTGAATCAGCGACTGTACGTATGTTTTGTTACTAGTTTAAGTATTTATTATTGACTGTTCAAATGCGGAGTTTTGCGCAGCACAGAGTAACCCGTCATGTGTGTGTGTGTGTGTGAGGGGAACAGGGTCACATCACAGGAGAGTGAACTGCCTGTCAGAAATCATAGCACGTCAGCTGTCTTAACCGCGGCTTGTGTAATACATCATCACTGTGTCTGTCACGCGACTCTGTTGCCCTTTCGGGCTTGAACTGATGGTAAAACTAATGACATTATTAACTGTCTTGATATTTACTTTGAAAGCTGACGCTCGCGATTATGGTAAGGGGCGTTACATTTCCGACAGGTGCTTGTGGTGTTCGGCCAATCACAGTGCACTGGGTCAGCTGGCCAATCAGAGCGGACTGCGCTTGTCAAAGGAGGGGGCTTTGTAGAAAACGAAGCGTTTGAGAGAGGCGGGGCATAGAGGATCTACAATAATGTACAGTATTTGAAAAATAATGTGTTTTTTGAACATTAAAGCATGTCAACATATTCTGTTACACCAAATACACAAAATAATGATCTTTAAAATAGCATCATATGACCCCTTTAAATATTCTGATATTTGTTTATTTATTTCCAGTTCAGCTTTTTACTCAAATTGTTATGCTAATAACATACTCTTCCAACCAAACGTTTGGGGTTGGTAAGATTTTTAAAAGTCTCTTATGCTCACCAAGGCTGCATTTATCTGATGAAAAATGCAGTAAAACAGTAATATTGTGACATGTTATTATATAAAAAAAAAGTTTTGTATTTTATTATATTTTAAAATTTAATTTATTTTCAGCAGCCATTATTCCAGTTGTCAGTGTCACATGATCCTTCAGAAATCACTCTGCTGATTTGGTGCTCAAGAAATTATCAGTGTTAAAACAGTTGTGCTGCTTAATATTTTTGTAGAAACCATGATACATATTTTTCAGGATTCTTCAATGAATCATTGAAAAGAACAGCATTTATTTGTAATATATTTTTGTAACAATTTGAAAGATCAATTTAATGCATCTTTGCTTTAATAATTTCTAAAAATAATTTAAAAAAAAAAAAAAAAGTTCGAACTTCAAACTTTTTAATGTTTTTTTTTTTTAAAGAAAAAATACATAAAGAAAATCATTTGAAATTATAAAATAATTTTCACTGGTAGTCTGAGATGTTTTGATTCTTCTGTACTTGGTAGTGGTACACTGTAAAAAATGACCGTGAATTTAACGGTAAAAGACTGTAAAAATGTTACAGTAAAAACTTGTTAAATGGTTAACGGTAAATTCCCCTACTATATACGGTGAAAAACTGTATTGGACATTACATGTATTGGACATTAATTTTACGGTAGTATACCGTTTTTGGAAGTGAAAAAGACTGTATAATTTACAGTGAATAACCGTAAATTGACATTCCCAGAATTCCCTGTGTTACATTTCAAATTTGATGTTTTTTTGTTGAAATAACTATGTTTCTTCTTAGTTTTTTCTTATCAGTTTTGTATATTAGGGTTGTGTGTTACACCTAATGTTGTTAAATGAATGTTTATTGCATTATTTCAGTTTCATGTGTGTTACCATGATGGTGTTTGGTGCTTGTGTGAATGACACTGTGCAATTTCTATATATGTTATTATTTAAAAGCTGCTTGTGATGGGCTTTGGTTCATCATGTGACTTCCTCATCACCACCTGCATTTGGTGGTTATCAGTGTATTACAAAGCTACAAAACAGATTTCAGTACTTCAATAAGTTGGTATATTAACATTATATCAGTTAATGAAAATACGGTATTTAACTGTAAATTTAAGTTAAAACCGTAAAACCTAAAACATTGCTACCGTA